GTTTGAAAAGACATATCTCAATGCAGATGTATAGTGGATAGAAATATCCGATGGATGGTTGGAGTTGAAAAAGGGGATAATACTTTTTTTTGGTTTCATAAATGTCTGGGAGATATGTCCTTTGTTGTTTGCTAGTCGGATTTGTTTGCGAGAACAGTGAATTCTCCGTTTAAGGTCGCAGATTTGGCGCAGCGAGCTAATGCTGGTTGGGTATGGAATATCCAATGCTTCTAAAATAGGGTCTCTGATATTGTGATATCTCGAATTTCCTCCTTACTCTTGAATCTAGAATTTGTTTATATTTCAATTTTTAGGGATGATGAGAATTTTTTTGAAGTTTGAGCTTGGTCAAAAGAAAAAACACAACTACCGATTTCACATTCAATGGTTAAGATTAATTGTGACCACCTTGTACCAAAAGTAAATGGTCTCCTTTTATACTTAATCCCTAAGCCCAAGTAGACTGAAAAGAACAATGGTCCAATACCTTGCTACCCATAATTATTTAGTTAATTACAAATGCTCAAACATAGCATCTATAGCATACTCGCATAGCACACTATGCATTCACTTCCTCATTCGAATTAAGCTCCTAAGTCTCAATAATTAGATGGATTTATGAAAGTGCTCCTAAATACCTAGATAGTTGGATTTATGAAAAGTGGACATTTTTTTATTCAATTTTAAGACATTTCTATAGGTCAAATTGCAATTTGAGTCTTTTTAAAAATTTATCACACGTAATTCGACCTCAAGTGGTTTTGTTTTTGAAATTTGAAACAATCAAATAACCCGAAAAAGTAAATGGTAATTTGTAAAATTGTCGTTTAATTAAATATAAATAACATAGCATTTTGAAATCAAATGATGCCATGTAATCCAATATATATGCCAAAAGAATCTATACTATGCAGGAGTATAATGTCTATTTACTTCCTCGGATACTGAATATGGGAGTAATTTTAGGAACCCAGGGAGGCAACCTCCTCAAGCCACAGGCTGATCTCAGTAGAATTTGTTTTTTAATTGACCCATACTTAAAAAAAATAACGTCTCAATATTGAAAAGAGACCGTCCAATTTTTGAAGGGTGAGATTGAAGTGTCAAAAACTCAAATTTCAAAGTAAGTTTTTTTTGTTTGTTTTTTGTTTTTTTTTTTTCTTGTTTTTTTTTTTAGTAATTAAGTGGGGAAGACAAGCCCCTACCCATTTATTCAAATAGATTAGGAGTTACCATTCTGAAGGCATTATTTGTTAGTGGTGGGAATCAAAACCAATCTTTCAAAGTAATTTTTTTTTTTTTTTTCGAATAATTTAGTGGAGAAGACAAGCCCTACCCATTTTTTCAAGTAAATTAAGAGTTACCATTCCGAAGGTATTAGTGGGATGGAGTTAGTGGTGGGAATAAAAACCACAATGTAATGACTATGGTATGGTGCTACCACCACGACCTCGGCCCCTTTCGGAAAAATAGGTCTTTTGAGTGAGGAAATAGATACACCGTATGCTCCTACATAACCCTAATATACATGCTCATACGTATACGTATTATATAAACTCTCTTTTTTCTCTCTCTATCCCCCTCCTTATCCACTAACCTAGTTATCTCTTTGTCACTCACTCTCCCTCTCTCTCTCTCTCTCTACATAAGCCAACTCGACCAATCACTCTCTCTCCAAAAAACTAATCCTACTAGCCTCTTTCTCTCTCTAGCAGTATTACCTTTGTGTAGAGAGAGAGGAAACTAGGTTAGCATGGTATACTATGATTATCTTTTTGTAGAGAGAGAGGAAATGATAACCAAAAGGAAAGGTTTTAATCGTGCTCAACCATGCAAACCCGTAGGGCACACAAATATGTTTATTTTTTCTCTTTCTTTAGAATAAGGCTTTCATAAATAACTGGGAAAGGTTTCTATACTTCCCTGTGTAAGATATGTACTTCTCTCATCCAGTCGTTCAATTTTGATCAAGTGACTCATTGATCCCTTGATCTAGATCCAACGCTTCATAATATTTTATTTTATTTTATTTTTTTTAAATTATATAAATATAAAATTTAGTATGTGCCATCATCTCAATAAAGCAAACCTAAAAAATATATTAAAAAAATACTTTGAAGAATAAAATGACCACAATGCCCCTAAAAATTTTAGGGCCATTGTGATCAATCTATTTTACTGAGAATATTTTTTATATTTTTTTACAGGAGCAAGTATAACAGAGGAGTAAATGCCCAAAATTTAGTGTCAAAAGATTTTGTAAAAAAAGCTCAAAATAAAATAGTGTAAAGACGTGACATTGTAATTAAAAGCATCTCAACCGTCCATTCAAATAAACGATTGGATAGGCAAAGTATATATATTTTATACATTAGGGGAAGTATAGAAAGCTTGCCCTAAACAAGATCCCTTATAAGCCCCTCAATATGATTAAAGTTTCATACCATTGTTAAGTGTAATAACTAACTAACAGATGTTATCATACACCACAAGGAAATCCACTCTGGATTCCGGTGAAGATTAATAAACAGGATTATAGACAAATAGATCTTTTGGAAATAGTTTATATAAGTGCAAGGCTCTAAACAATCAAATTAAGGAGCACATCAAATATTCATTAGAAAAGGTTGTTTCAATGCTTAAAAAGTCTCAATTCGATCATCTCAACCTCAAGATGTGTGGACTTGAGAAAAAAACATTTTATTGAAAATATATTATTTAGATGTGTAGAGAAATCTAGATGTGTGGACTTGTAATATATTTTCTAGACCATCAATTTTCTACATTTTCAAGTGCTCATATATCTGCTCGATCTACACTATTTTTTAACTTTAAATTTTATTATTAGAGATAAAAATAAATTTTCAAGCCATCATAAAGATTTCTAATATTAAAAAAACATATTTGGGCACTTCTTAAAGGTGCACCCTATTTTGATTGTCTAGAGAATAAGCTTTATACAAACAACACCCTCTTATCTTAACCACACCCTCTTATCTTTTATACCTAGCTATTGCAATCATTATTGTCCCTTAAATTTTAAAATGGGTGGTTGTGTCATTGAATAGATACAAAGTTTTAAAAAACAATTCTTGAACTTTGTGACTCACCCCAAGCTATCTAATTTGACATCTAATGAGTTGAATGATTTTTTGAATAAGTGTGAGTTTCATTAAGATAATGAAAGGTACAAGATACAAAGAAATTAAAAACAAAGAAAGAGGAAAAAAAAAAAGGCCTCAAGGGGCAGGGAGGGAAAGAGTTTCAAGGGGGATACAGAAGCTAAGGCTTAGGAGGTAGCCAAGTTAGCCAATTAGACTGCATCCGAATTGAATCCTCGAGCAGCATGCTTAAAGGAGACATGAAAATCCCACAAATATATCAAGATTTCATCCATCAGACTACTGAGGCGCCAAGGGGTAGAGTGAGGGGACAAGCACCACCTGATGACGTTAGCCAAGTCGCCTTCAATTAACACTCTAGAGGTGGAGAAATCTAGATTTAGAACTATCTTCAGCGCCCATAACTCTGTCTCATTTATTTCACAAGGATAGATTCTACTCGATACAGTTCAAATCATGACCCCACAATGATCACAGAGAATACCCCTATACGCAGCCACCTGTCCCTTCACACTACCATCAAAATTAAGTTTGGCCCAACCTTCCAGGGGAAACTTCCACATATATCACAAGGATGAGCGCCTAAGTTTGAATATCATGAGATTTCTAAAGTGTGCAAAGAAGAATTCCTTTAGTATAGCTTTAAAAGGAAGGAAGCTATGAGCCCAAGTTATAATGGACCGCTGGATTGCCAAGAAGAAAGTGAGAAGATCACGGCCGTAGCTTTCAAAAGTTCTCAAATTACGCTCTTCTACAAGTTCTACTAATAAGTAGAATGATTGTGACTTCCATGTACATAATATAAATAGTCTCATTGTATACATTCTCTAAATAAATGGTTTTTAGTTATCTTGTTGTAAGCCTTATTTTTATATTTTTATATATATGTTTTTTAAATATCTTTGATTGGAAAACAATTTTTTCCGATCCATATCTTATATATAATTTTCAACTTATTTTGACTTGTTATGTTGTTTTTGGTTAGTTTATTTTAACCAATTTTATTTTTTAAATATTTTTAATTTATTTATTATTATTTTTAGATATTTGTAGCCATAAAACTCCAACGGTGCCACTCGGACTTGCCTTCGCCTGAGCCAAGGCCGAGTCCGTGGGCCAAGCTGGACATCCAAACATTAATTGTAATGGAGGTCTTTTAAGGCATGTCAAATATAAGTAAAAACACACCTCTTAATACTTTCTGATCAAAGAAAAGCACAAAAGCCTAGTAAATAATGATTAACTTGTTGCTCAAACGACAAACATAAAAAATGTCATAACAACTTGGATTATTTGTTGTCAAACTCAAAAACAAAACATAGGAAAGGGGTTCGTGGTGGCAGCATCTCCACACCCGATTTCCATACTCGATATCCATTCCGAAGTATCCATTCCTACTGCTGACACCCCAATTAACTCCCTCGATCTATTGAAAAAACACGTCAGGGCTGTCTTCCCCAACTGAATTACTCAAAAGCAAACCATTCAATTCAATGAAGCAAAGTTGACAATCAAAACAAACAAAAGGAAAAACAGACAAACAAAACTGCAAAACACAGTATGTGCACCTAATCAATGAAGCAAAGTTGACAATCAAAACAAACAAAAGGAAAAACAGACCAACAAAACTGCAAAACACAGTATGTGCACCTAATCAATGAAGCAAAGTTGACAATCAAAACAAACAAAAGGAAAAACAGACCAACAAAACTGCAAAACACAGTATGTGCACCTAAGAATATTAGAGCAAACGAAGAACAAATCTGAGATTCACAAATGAAAAGGAGCCCAAATCATCAAATAGTGGAGCTTCAAATTTCACACAAATAAAAATAAAACAAAATGGAGTTTCTGAACATAAGAACACAACCTCTTTCTTTTAAGCAAATCAGATATACAACCAGTCTAAACAATAAACAATGATTCTAAGTGTATGAATGTATACATTTGAAAGATAAAATATATGAAACAACTTGTGGAAAACAAATAGGCCAGAAATTTCAGCAAAGAAGAAAGCATAAGGAAACCCCAGAAAAAACTCAGCCCTCAAGCTTCCTCGAAAGTGACAAAAACAAACCCTTTGTCCTTCTTTTTCTCACTCCAGGAACACAAAACCAGTTTTAAATTTTTTCTGTCTTGAACTCCATTGAAGTGATGCTCTTTGAAATCTCTTCTAAGCATAACAACACAAATCCAATTCAGAATTTCTCCATTACCTCCATTGAAGGCCAGCAAGCTTCTTGTATAGTAAACCACCCTAATTTTCTCTCTCTATATGTAACTTTAACTCAATCCTCTGAAGTTCTTGACAGTAAACCAAAACCAATCCCTCTCTCTCATTCCTAAAACAACACAAACCCAATTCTTAGTTCAACCTATCTTCACCTTCTCTCTCATTCCTCCTCCTAATGGAATTCATCTTTTGAAGCCGAAGCCCCTCACGAAACTGAGCAATGAACGCCTCAGCCTTGCTGTTGACATCGGGGCTTTCACAAAACAAAGGCCCGATTGACCTAGAAGCTTCTTCTCCTTTCATGGCTTCCAATTCAACCTGAGTATCCATTGCCTGCAAATTCTCCACTGCTTCATCCTTTAAAACCCACATTGGAGGAGGAGGTGGCGGGGGAGGTGGTGGCCTTGGTGGGGGCATAGAAATCCTTCTTTGATGACCACTCGTTGGGGGAGGTGGTGGTGGTGGAGGAGAGTAGGAGTGAGCTGTAGATAGAGAATGAGCCTCCTTGTGCAATGAACTAGAGAGGGAGCGGCCACTGTTCAATGAGGTCGAGAGGGAGCGGCCACTCGTTGGTGGGGGAGGAGGCGGAGGAGGTGGGGTAGAGAGAGAGTGTACCTTCCGGCTGGATGGTGTAGAGAGAGAGTGGGCCTTCTGGTTCGATGAGAGAGAGTTGCTTTTCTTTTTGCTCTTGCCTCTATTAGTGAACCAGTTGTGAAGAGATGAAGGGAGAGGAGGAGGGGTAGGTGGTGTTGAAGATGAGTTCTTCTTTCTCCTCTTCTCAGAAGAAGATGATGAATGGTAGATTGCATTAATGACGTTTCTTACGCTTGTTTTGTTTTTGCTTTTCAATGGAGGAGGAGGAGGAGGTGGTGGTGGTGGTGGTGGCGGCGGCGGCGATGCATAAGGTGGAGGAGGTAAAAACTCCTTCCCCTTTTTCCAATCTAGAGAAAGAAAGTAATCAGGCTGCGAGAGAAACGACTCTGATTTGTTGGGAGGAGAGAGAGTGGGTTTTTTCGGACGGATCGATGCAGGGTCTAGAGAGATGTTCTTAACTTTCGGTCCATCCCGATGGATTTCGGCCATACTTTTATTGTCTTCAAGCTTTCTCTCTCTAGACTTCCGATGGGAATCATCCCCAGGCTTTCTCTCTCTACCCTTTAGATGGGTATCATCAAAAGCCCTCAATGGAGGTTTCTCATGGTCAAACCTGGCTTCAATGAGGTCCGGGTACGAGCTACTGTTCCTCATCCGCCTCATTCCACGATGGCCAGAGCTCGAAGCACCCTGATCATGAGTTTTTCTGGTGATCTCTGGTTTTTCCGGTGAAGATCCAACAAAACCAGAAGATCGGCTCTTCTCTACATGAATTTCGTCAGGTTGGGTTTCTTCAGTTTCGCCATTTTCCTCATCTCTCCTCTTCTCCTCATGCTCTGCAACCCCAGCTTGACACCCTCCAGTCATAGTCGTGTTCTCTGAAACTGTGGCCGGATTCTCTGAAATTCCGGCCAAATTTTGTCCGGAATAGTCAGACAGGTTGCCAGAAAATTCAAAAAGCTTGGTAGCATAGGGAGAAGAGGTCCCTGAATCTGGAGAAGAGCGTCGACTGAGGAGGCCAAAGAGTATGGCAAAGAGGACCAGGAAGAGGTTCAGAACATCCCATGACTTGGCCACGGTTGATCTCTTGAAAAGCTTAGAGAGAGAAGAGAGAGAAGGGAGGAGAATGGCTATGAAGAGGAGGAGGAAGATAGAGAACGCCACCAGAACTGGTGGTTTTAGTAAGAAGGACGAAGGGTGGTGGTGGCGATGGCGACGATAGGGGTTTGGTTCTTGGTTAAGCCAAAATGGGGGCGTGTCCCCTTCCATTTTCGCTCTCTCTAAGTTCCCTCACCTCTCTGCAATGGTTTTCTCTCTCTAAAAATCACTCTCTCCTGTCTCTCTGCAACTGTCCCTTCGAACTGCTTGCCTGCGGCTCTCTTTCTCTCTCTAAACTTTCAAAGTTGGTGAAGGCAAATTTTATACAACTGCTCTCTGTCTACGCTACACGCTGACATTTATATACTATGCTTCCTTGTAGTAAATAAAGACTTTCTTTCTCTCTCTAGGTTGCGTTCAAGTAAGAAAAAAGTTTATATAAGAATGCAACCTCATACTGTTGAAGTAAGGTACACCTAAAAAAATCTCCAATGGAGAGTGTTCCGTCTTAGAAAAAGCCACTAGATGATCATCTAAACCTTCAGATGAATGGATATGAAGAAAAAAGAAGAATTTCAAGTCAAAAAATAGTGTATCTTGTAGCAAATTTTCTGAACCATCTATTTTTAAGATTCTCAAGTATTTTTTGATCGGCTCAATCCGTATTATTTTTTAACTTTAAAATTATATAATTGAGAATGAAAAGAGATTTTGAAGCCATATTAAAGTTTTCGACACTCTAATAACTTCTCTAAGTAAATTTTATAACTGCACCTTACTTCTACAATATAAAGAGGCAACCTTATACAAACCTCACCCCGTTCAAGTAAACCACATTTGGCTCATCCTCTTTCTCTCACTAAATTGCAAGTTTATGTTGCGCTCTCTCTCTCCTCCCTCTCTTTCGCCGCAAGCTTTGTTTTCTCCTTAAAATAATCCCACTCCAAGCTTCTTCGAATCTCTCTCTAAAAGAATCTCTTAATGCTGTATTTGTTAGATGTATTCCCTATTGTTTCTCTCTCTTTGAATCTCTCTCTAAAATAAGGTCCAATGGTGTATTGTGAAATGTGTTTCCTATTGTTTCTCTCTCTAGAATAATCTCACTACAAGCTTCTTTTCCAATAGTGTATTGTGAAATGCATTTCCTATTGTTTCTCTCTCTAGAATAATCTCACTCCGAGCTTCTTTGAATCTCTCTCTAAAATAAGTTTTTAATGGTGTATTGTGAAGTGCGTTTCTTATCAATTTAAATTTTTTTGAATTTATCTCTCTAAAATAAGCTTTTAATAGTTTATTATGAAATAAGTTTCCTGTTGTTTCTCTCTGTAGAATAATCTCACTCCAAGTTTCTTTGAATCTCTCTAGAAAATAAGCTCCTAATGGTGTCTTTGTGAAATGTATTTCCTATTCCTTTTGTGTCTCTAAAAAAAAAAAACTCACAATGGGGTATTTGTGAAATGTGTTTCCCATTGTTTCTCTCTCTACAATAAGGTTAAAAAGATGGAATTTTGTCACGTCTTTCCGATTCTCTCTTTTGGTAAACAAATCCAGCTTTTGAGTGGCTTCGTAATAATGGAAAAGTGGGAAAAAGCTCTCTCACGCTCTCTTTTACTAAGCATGATTCTGACATTTCTTTCATGCCTAAATTGCCACTTACCGTATCTGACCAAACATGCCCCTAACAAACAATCAATCAAATCCCATGGAATATTCAAATTTAGTTTCTTCCCCATCCACTTTTTTCGTTGGATTGGCACATAGACTTTGAGTCAATAATTATAGTAAAGCACAGGAAAAAAAAAATCCACAAAATGCTACTATTTTCCTTTAATATCTTCTTTAATAATTTTTTAATATGTTTTTTTCCACATCCTTTTTGAGGTATAGTGAGAGTCCATTTTAAAAATAGATTTTGGATCTAAGATTTTGAGATTTGTTGATGTCAACTATTGTGGTTATTATATATATGGATTTTTTCTTTTAAAAAATTAAAATTAATATTTTTAATATGTTTTTCCACCCTCCTTTTTGAGGTATAGTGAGAGTGACCTTTTGTTGTCCATCTTTGAGATGGACATCTCATGCATGAGGAGACACACCTATTTCGGTGAGTTTGTTGGCTCACCAAAACCATATCCTTTATCAAAATACCATTTGATATGTTATTTGATTTAATTTCAAAATATCCATTAAAATAAATACGATCATGAGTTTGAAAAATTATAAATGTATAAGATGTTAAAATATCTCAAATAAATATTTTGATAAATTTTTTTTAAAAAATAAAGTTGAATCTTAAATATCACACAAAATTATAATTAGGGCATTATAAAACTTTTATAAAACATTTAAAACTTTTATATAACATTTATCAGTAATCCAAAAGTTCATTTCTCTATGTTTTCTTTGTTTTCCTTTTTTTTCTACTGATTCGAATATCCCATGAATATTCATCCCTCGTAAAGGATGATTTCAGGTCATATTTGTTGAAAATAAGTTTGGACTCAATGGTGTCTTTGTGTATTTTGTAAACGAACAAGGGGTTTTTCGTCATTGTATCAACAATCTACGAAAGGAGGGTGTCTTTTTGGTTTTCGTATAAGAAGGCGCGAAATCGGGAATTGTCACGTGTTTCTTTCTTGTCTTAAGTCGGTTTCCAAATTTTGTCCTAACAATAACCACAAATCTCTAAACTACCCATACCCAAATCTAGAGTGTATCTTAAGGGAATGTTTATATAAGTTGGAGGGTCTTAACCATCAAATTAGGGTGCACTTCAAAAATTTCATTAGAAGAAATTGTTTTAGTGTTCAACTATTCTCAAATTGATTATCTCGACTTCAAGATATATAGACGCAAGAAAATAAATAAATTTCAAGTTTTAGAAATAGAGCATCTTGTAATACATTTTTGGACCGTCAATATTCAAGACTTTCAACTTTTCATAATTATGGTCGATCTACATTATTTTTAAAGCTTTAAATTTTATAATTAGATATGAAAATATATTTTAACACTATCACAAATATTTCCATTTATGAAACCATATTTCTCAAAACTATTTGAAGGCGTGCTCGACTTTGTTTAGAGCCTCGGTTCTATACAATCCACATCAAACATTATTCACTAGAAGGTGGTGATCACCAAGGATGATCGGTGGACACCTCCCTTAGCGAGAGTCAACTTCTATATTAGCCTCCCTATAGCAATGGCCAATGTCAGCATTGTGGACCACGGTCTTAAGTCTACCTCATTCACGCTAACCATGCTTACGCCTACATGTTATTTTTGGCTGGGAATTTACAGGAGTTTTAATTCACCAAGATAAGTCTATAGTATCTCTCTCGTTAGCAAAAGGAGATAACACAATATATGTTTAACTCTAGTTATGAAATTTAAAATTTTAAAAATAATGCAATAGATCTATAAACACTTAATTTTTTTGAAAATAGACCTACTAAATAACTAGTTTCAAGATGTGCTAATTTTTAAAAATCAACTTTTCTTTTTTTTTCTTTATATCCATAAATCTTAAGGTTAGGATGGTCATTTAGAAGATTTTCCAACTTAGAAAAGAATCTTTTCTAATGGTTTTTGAGATGCACCTCATTTCTATATTACAAAGTCACAAACCTTCTATAATCTATTTCCTTTTATTAGTGGTGAGAGGGAATAAGTTTCACGTTTCAATTTGGGAGATATTTGAAAGGTGAATGAAAGTTAGGATGAATAAAATAAGGGGGAGAAATGGACAAGTTCGGTGGATTTCGGACACAACCCCTTTCATTTTATTTTATTACTAATTATTATAATGTTTATGATGCCATAAGTTTTCAAGTTTCCCAAAGTGTAGAGGAATTTGCCGCGAAAATCTTTAGAAACTTTCACGAAAAGTTGAGGCTTGCGTCACGGAAACTGGTAACTTGGCGGCCAAAGATTCGCGAATCGGCGAAACTTTCGCAACTCGGTTCTTCAAAAATTGAGTGAGTGGGAGTGATACAAATATAGGAAAATGGTTTGATAGGGTGCAGCCCTATTAGAATAAGTAAAGCCTCATCTCATAACTCATCCAAATTTATAATTCAGAATATCTTTGCATCGATCAACATGGATTGAACATTATTCTTGTTAAAAAAAATTAGGATTTTAAGTTCTAAAAAGAAAAAAGTTTATATATGGATGCAACCTTATAATTTAGAACACCTCAAAAATCCATTGGAAAATGTAGATTTAAGGTTGAAAAACCCTTTGATTGATCATCTCGATATCAAGATGTATGACCATGAAAAATAAAGAGATTTTAAGTCTCAGAAATAGTATATTTTACAACATATTATCTACACCGTCCATTTTCAAGATTCTCATATGTTTATAGATCTACTTGATTTTAACTATTTTTTAAATTTAAAATTTATAATTATATATAAAAATAGATTTTGAGATAATCCTAATAACATTTTACATCAAAATTATATACCATAATAAAATTTGAAGGTGCACCTTACCTTTACAGCTACGGATGCATCTGTATGCTAACTGCACCCTTCTAAAAATAGGGTATATTATAACAAATTATCTAAACTGTCCATTTCACCCTAAACATAAGTGGTCATAGATCCGTAAGATTTATATTATTTTTTTAAAGAAAGACTAATTTGATCTTGTCGAGAAATTTATTATTATTATTTTTCTTCTTTTAACCTTTTTTTTTTTTTTTCTTTTTTTTTGGCAAAGATCACTTATAAGTAATCTTATTATAATAACTCTTACTTCAAAGAAAATAAAACTAACAAGTCCAATCTTTTAAAACCTTAATGCCATCAAACCAATACACCCCACACTAGGAAAGCAAACCTTAGGCCAAGCCCTCTAATGATAAATTCTAAGTGGGGCGTGCCCCTTCGCGGGATATGATAGAGAGTTGTGAATTAGGTGTAAGAGATAATGTATAGAGATTTTGGAGAGAGACAATCTATTTTTATAGGCTTTGAACAAGATTAAGGTTTATTAGGGTTTTTTTTTTCTTGCATCTTCTTATGAGATTGAATATGAATCATTGATCGTGAGTGACTTGTGGGGTGAGAAATTTAAGTCATCGATTTTATAGATGGGCTATCAATATTATAGAATGTGCTAGAACATTTATCCCTAATTCCTACAACATTTTCCCATCAATAGAAATTAAATAAAATAATTCTATTCATAATATAGTGCTTACCATAATTATACACAAGCTTTCTCATGGCAAAATCTTTCCAAAACACTTCAAAGCTTTCTCTTGAAGCCAAAGCTTGACCTAACATAAAGAATGTTTCATTA